AGACTTGGACAAAATAAGATAATGTTCTTATTTTACTATGAATTCGATTGAACCAAGCAAACAAGTTAGCAGGATGATACACTACCTCCAAACAAATTGCTAGCAACTCAGTGCTAAGTATTTGATTTGTCACTACACTATCACTCACTGTCTGTCTCTGTTGAAAGCAAAGCTTGTTTCGGCGTAGTTTCAATCCAGAAGGTAGTATACATCTCTATGTCCTATGCAGACCCTTCATGAATCTGGGAGAAATTTGGCTTGAGAGACCTGAATAGCAAGGAACAGACTTAATGTAAAAACATTTTATTTTGGTTTAGTTTCTTTTCTTTTTACTGGTGTAAATAATAAAAGCTTTCCATTAAATGAGGTGCTTAACGTGAAGATGTGATGGAAGAGAATTGTTGTTGCCACTGCTAAAAATTACAATGATACACTGTGAGAGATGACACTTTTAAAGAGGAAAGAACATATAAATTAACCTAATTCACTTACCATCTACTTCCCCACTGCCTTTTTTTTTTTTTTTTTTTTTTTTAATGCAGGTACCTGGAGAAAAAGCGCCTCCTGTTTCCACGATTCTTCTTTGTGTCAGATCCTGCTCTCTTAGAAATCCTTGGCCAGGCATCAGACTCTCACAGTATACAGGCCCATCTGCTGAATGTCTTTGACAACATCAAAACTGTCACATTTCATGAAAAGGTATGTACTGCCCACACCTCAGTGTTACATTCTTTCAAACTGAAAATTTTTAAATAAGAAAGCTACCTGGGTGCATTGGGCATTCAGCTGTTTTATGAAACTCATCAACTATTTGATGCCGTGTAGGCTTCCTGCATTTAAGATTTAGTTTCATATCCTCATTTATGTAATAGGAAAACTCTGTATAGCATAGCAAAACAAATAAAAATTTGCACCAGTGCTTAGGTTACAGAAAAAAGCACCCAGGTACTGAACAGTCTTCTGTGGCTTAATATAGGCTAGCATCCTCTCAGATAAACTTCTGATTCTTTATGAGCATATTTGTATCTTTAGATTTCTTGTATTTGTACTTTTTCATTTTTTGATTGTAAGAAAAAAAAATTATCTCATCTCTAACCTGTTGGTTGGTTATCCTTAATATCCCTTCAAACATAGTGTTTGACAAAAAATGTTCTTATACCCTTTACAAGAAGAGATAGCAACTTTTTTTTTCCTGTGTAAGTATGCATTTTCTTAGAAATTCACTACCTCCCTGTGCATTTGAAATTCCTTTGATTGATCATGTTCCTTAACTTTTGTGTTTCCATTATTTTTGATTGTAAGGCTGTAAGTTTTGTTAGGATATTAACCCACCAGTAATGGGGGAAGGTTTCCTTTGTTGAGACTGGAAAGTAGGTCTTGTAATTGAAACTTAAGTGAAATTCAGGAATGTCTGTGTATTGGGGTTTGTCTCCTTGTTCAGGTGACCATGTTCTGTTTAAAGCCTTTCTGCACACCAAAAGTAATGATTTAATTGTTTTTACATTTAAATTAACAGGTTGGTATCACTTATTAGTTACCTAAATAAGTTTAATGGAGTGATGGCAGAAAAATCAGACAGTAATGTGTATTCTTACAGATGGTAAGAATAACAATAAATCTATAAACACAAAATGTTCTTGCTTTGCTTTTATTAGATATATGATTGCATATTGTCGATTAGTTCACGAGAGGGTGAGACTCTAGAACTGACTAGACCTGTAATGGCAGAAGGTAACGTGGAAGTTTGGCTCAATTCTCTGTTGAAGGAATCCCAGCTGTCACTGCATCATGTTATTCGCCAGGCAGCTGTGCACATCCAGGAAACAAGTTTCCAACTGGCTGAATTTCTTTCTACTTACCCAGCCCAGGTAATGTAATTGCTAAATCAATGAAGAATTGTTCACAGATATGTAGCACATTGATATTTTTTCTCTTGTCTTTGCAGTCAAAGTTGCAGCCAGTGTTATAAATGCAAAACTGACGTTTAAATTTAACTTAATCACCTTAGTCTTAAGTTACACTTTACGTATCTGAAACCAAAAGAAGAAAACTTACAGTGAAGCTCTTTTTCAAAAATAATGCTGCATGCAATAAATTAATGCAATGGAGTTAACACTATTTCTTTACAAGTTTGATACTTGACTACTAAAGGAAAAATAGTAAAATTGTATGTTTGTTTACATATTCAGGAAAAGGCTGTATATTGCTAAAGATTTGGAGCTGAGGGTAGTGCTGCGGGAAAAATTATTTTCTTAGTAGAAGCTTCTTCGCTTGTGATCAGGAATGTTGTTGGAGACAGATTAAAGAGTTTGTGAATTATTGAAAAAACATTTTAAATTGAAACTTAATTATTCACTGATTAGTTTTTAATTATATATAAAAACCGTATTAACTATATATAGTATTTATATATATGCTGTAAATTATACTGAACAGTTGTATCAGCAGTGCACTGTAGGCACCATATACAAGACTGAAGTGTGGACTTAACTATGTTTTTATGCATGGAGTTGGAACACATAAAACAAATGCATGGGTTGAATGACCTCTATATGGATGCATGAAAAAAAAATTGTACAAATTATAGCAGAACCATTTCTTTAGTTTGTCTGTGTCTGTGAGTGTACATTTTAGGTAAAAGGGAAAAGATTATGAAGCATATACTTCTGTGTTTCCTAAGGTTGGGTTATTGGGGGTCCAAATGCTTTGGACAAGAGACTCGGAAGAAGCTTTGACTAATGCAAAGTATGATAAAAAAATTATGCGAAAGACGAACCAGTTTTTCCTGGATCTTCTAAACACGCTGATAGATGTGACAACAAAAGACCTTAGCCCAGTTGAACGAGTTAAATATGAGACATTAATCACTATTCATGTGCATCAGAGGGACATTTTTGATGGTCTGGTAAGTACTGAAAAATTTACAATGAGTTATGAGGTGGTTTCCACATTAAAAAAAAAAGTGAGAGGAAGAAAATATTACTATACCTGTCACCTCCTGCCTTTTAAGCTAAACATCTAATTTCAGGATTGTAATGATTATGTGACCAGGAGTTTTAAAAAAATACTGATGTTGCTTCAATCTATGTCTTAGTTTCTCGTTAAGTAATTCGGTGGTCTTTTCCCCCACAAGCAATAGCAGAATTTTATAATGCCTGGTGTTTGCCCACTTAAGTGAGTTGCCTCTGTTGCATGATCAGATAGGGACATCTTTTTTGTCATACATTGTGTTGCAAATAATTGTCCTTTTTCTGGACTACACTGTGAGTTTTGAGGAGTAAGTAGAATGACTATAGAGTTATTGTACAGGAAAAATTTTGAAGTTGGTTGAAGCTGCTATCCCCTCTATTCTAGTTTCAGTAGCATACTTAATTATTACTTACGGATTTATTTATTCACTTCACTCTTTCTCATGCTGCCACAGGGTACTAAATTGAAAAAAATTGAAGCATTTACTGCTTAAACAATCAAAGTTAAAAGCTAGAATACCCTTTTACCTATAGAAAACTCTGAAATGAAGCTGTCTGAGAAAAGAATTACTGAGTTTTAAACCATTGCTGATAGGCAGGCACCTATCTTTTCATCACAGAACCAGTTGTTTCTAGTTATAATCACTTTATGTAAAGTATAATTTTTAGATACAACCTGCGGTTCATCTTTTTTTAATCCTGTTTTAAAATTCAGATGGTCAACTTTGAATTACTCCCAGCTCTGTTGAATTTCTTAACTAATATCTGTACCATGATACTGTCTTGAAATAGTTTTGGTTTTTTTTCTCCAATTTGTATGTAGTTTCATAAAATTCTCATGAGGTTTTTTTTTTAAATCAAGTTACATGCTTCCTACTTGTACGTAAGAATAAAATGTTAGAGATGAGTAAAAGAAATTGCAGTTTTAATGTTAACTGAACTTAATGACTTTTGTTTGAGGCATATGGACTGTTCATTTGTATTTAGAATTTTGACATGCTTGTCTAAAGCCTGAAGTTTCTTTGCCTTAGTATGGGTTTCAGGGACAGCAATAGTGCATTAGCAATTCTTGTGGTAAAAATCAAGATAGTCTCCACTATTCTTGTGTTACTAGCTGTTCTTTATGCTTTTCATTGTGATTGCGGTGCTGCCTTTGCAGTACTACTTAGATGAGTTAATATAAATGCAAAAGTAAATGTTAACCGTGAATACCACAGCCTTTTTCCTCCCTGTTTTCTTAGTGTTGCAAGCATATCAAGAGCCCTACAGACTTCGAGTGGCTGAAACAGTGTAGATTTTATTTTAATGAAGACTCTGATAAAATGATGGTTAAGATCACTGATGTGAGTTTCACATACCAAAATGAATTCTTGGGCTGTACTGACAGGCTTGTCATAACGCCTCTTACGGACAGGTGAAAAAGACTAATTTTATTCCTTTATTCTTTGATGCCAAACCTGGGCTTTTACAAGAGCAATTTAATCATTCCTATTGGATGCAAAATAGATCTCTGCAGAGTTTATCCTTTCTTATCAAAGTCAATAATTTTACATGGAATACATGAATATTTTTGTTTCTGTGCTTTACAATATGAATAACTTCCAGCTTAATTTCTGCCACATAATTGCGCGATCCCCACATATATGATGTATGGGACTCTGCAGCTGTGTGCTGCAGCTCATTAAGTGATGATGGCCTGTTGTCTTTTAGATGTTACATCACTTTGGCTCAAGCTTTAGGCATGAACATGGGTGGAGCACCTGTGGGACCTGCAGGAACTGGAAAAACTGAAACCGTCAAAGATATGGGACGGTGCCTTGGAAAATATGTAGTGGTCTTCAACTGTTCAGACCAGATGGATTTCCGAGGACTTGGGAGGATCTTCAAAGGTAAGATATTGGCCAAAAGGGTCAACTGTGTCCTGGGGTGCATTAAGCCCAGTATAACTAACCAGTCAAAAGAAATGGTTGTCCCACTATATTCAGCATTGGAGTGGCTTGACCTCAAGAACTGTGTACAGTTTTGGGGTCAGCAATGTAAGAAGCATGTAAAAATATTAGAATGTGTCCAAAGAGCATGACTTATGGGGAACAGCTGAGTAGAGTAGGTTTGTTCACTTCAGTGAAAAGGAGACTGAGGGGTGTCCTTACTGCTGTCTACAACTTCTTCATGAGAGGAAGGAGAGAGGGAAGTGCTGATCTCTTCCCTCTAGTGTCTGGTGATAGGACATGAGGGAATGGCTTAAAGCTGTGTCAGGTGAAGTTCAGATTGGATATTAGGAAAATGTTCTTCATTGAGAGCATGGTCAATTAGCAGAACAAGCTCCCCAAGGAAGCAGTCAGAGCTGCTGCTGTTTGAGTAGTGTTGGGACAACACTCTTAGATATACAGTTTAACTTTTAGGTAGCCCTATGTGGAGTGAGGAGCTGGACTTTATCCTCATGAGTCCTTTACAACTAAGGATATTCTGTGATTATATGATTCTACGGACTCTATGAAAGTTAAAAATGCTAAGAGAACATCTTTATAAAACAAAGTCAACATATAATCAGCAGGTGGTGTTCAACCTTTTAATAAATGCAAGTATTTAATATCTGTTATGAATGTAAAATACATTTGCAATGCTGTCTCCAAGAAATACAAATATCTGAAAGCATAAGACAGTTTGTGAAAGGATGCATAAAGACACTTAAATAATCAAGGAGGACTGCCAGTACAAAAAAGTTATGGCATTTATTGCTGAACTGGTGGAATGTGTTTCATTCTGAACTCAGTATTTTGTCTTCTTCAAAGGTCAAAGTTCTTATCAGTTGAAGGAAGTGCATGAATAGTGCTATATATGTTAAATACAGATGGCACAGATTACTGAAGTTAGATGCAGACGAATTAGATACCAAGTGGAGGTTCTTGACTATTGTATTGTTGCAAGTTATTGTGTATTTTTTTTGCTTTGTTTTCCCCAAAATATCTGAGGAATTACGCAGTTCTGGCACAGACTGACCCCTAACTTCTTTCCAGGTGAAAGTAACTTTATTGTCCATTTTAATCTATACAATAAGCTATTGACTTCTCATATTTTCATAGATTTATCGTAGGGAGGTTTTTTGGGGGGATAGAGAGGATAGGAAAACATTCAAGATAACGAGAGAAAGAGCAGAAATCAAAGGATGTGGTATTTGAGACAAGCCTGAAGACTCTTGGAACTTTGTGAATTCTTGCTTGAAAAAGAATTAAACTCTTCTTAAACTCCTTGTCCCTTTCCTGACCCTCAAAAATAAACTTTTTCTTTTTTCCTGAGGTGGATTAATCTGATTTTTTGCTTATGAATTGCATTAAAAATGCTAACAACGTACTGATCAGATACTTAGTTGCTTTTCTCTTTGAAGGTCTTGCTCAGTCAGGCTCCTGGGGTTGCTTTGATGAATTCAATCGTATTGATTTACCAGTACTATCAGTAGCTGCACAGCAAATTGCAATTGTGTTGACATGTAAGAAGGAACACAAAAAAAGCTTTATTTTTACTGATGGAGATAATGTGGAAATGAACCCAGAATTTGGCATCTTTCTTACTATGGTAGGTATTAAGTAGGTTTCTAATGTGCCAGTGATGATTACATGATAATCACTTCTAACCTGGTGTGTTAAACATACTTGCTAACTCTTATGTCTCTTGGCTCTTGGACTCAGAGTTTCGAGAACACTGAGCATTACTACAAAGACAGTTTACAGGTCTTGTTTCAGTGACATCAAGCACATGCAATTAGCAGATGCAGCCAGCATTGTAAATACAAATTGTTAGATCAATGTCAGATTACTTCTGCATGCTAAATTCTGGTTCCTAAAGGATGATTTTTGCTACAAGTACAGAAAATTGGCCATAAAAGATACAGGCAGATGTAGCCAGTGAAAACAGGACCAGATTTGAAGTGTTTAAGTGGAACATTTTTCATATCTTGTAGCTGTAAGAGAGACTGAAATGTTGTGGCGATATGGTGGTAAATCTGCATGGCAGTTTGTTTTTACATGTGATTTAAAGCCAAAAAGCTATTTTTTTCTAACCAGATGACACATTCCTTTGCTGATTCTTCTGTTTGTGCAAGGTGCAGTCAATTTCAAAACCTGTTCTTCTCTCCAGAATCCAGGATATGCTGGACGACAAGAACTTCCTGAGAATTTGAAGATCAACTTCCGTTCGGTGGCTATGATGATTCCTGATCGTCAAATCATAATTCGTGTCAAATTGGCTAGTTGTGGTTTCATTGCTAATGTTGTATTGGCAAGGAAGTTCTTTACACTGTACAAGCTTTGTGAAGAACAACTGTCAAAGCAGGTGATTGTTTTCATATGAGGAAAAATTATCTTAGGAAAAAACTATATATGATGTCACAAATATATTAGTATATATGTGAAGAAAATGGAAAAGTTCATGTTCACTAAGTAAGCTAAATGACACTTTCAGTTTAGTAGAGCAGCTCTCTGCTGTAACATAAATAAAGGGCTTATATATAAGTTGGTATTGTAAAGTGGATTGAGAGGCATTTGGTTTGTGCTGCCTGTGCTTGTTTATGTGTTTCTCAAATAAAGTCAGTTTCCAAGGTCCACAGAGAATTCAAAATAATACTGCTAGTTTATTTCTGAATAGTCCTTGGGGACCTTATCTTGGCTCAAAGGCTTGTGATTACATTTCTTTTTTCTGTCACACCTTACAGTTCAGTAGGTGGTAGCAGAAGTGGGGAATGAAGTCACCTATAGTCATACAACCAAACACTAGTTTTTGGATGTTAGGTGGCATTTGTTCCACATGAACCACTTTTCATATATATATCCATGTCTTAAATGATAAATAAAAATTGTTTAATCTCTGTTAACTTGGGGGAAATTTTCCCAAACTTTGCCTGTCTTCTAGGTGCATTACGATTTTGGCTTGCGGAATATATTGTCAGTGCTACGTACACTAGGAGCAGCAAAAAGAGCAAATCCCACAGATACTGAATCTACCATTGTCATGCGTGTGCTGAGAGACATGAACCTGTCTAAACTAGTAAGTTCTGAGGGCCTTGTAAATTAATTAAACTGCACTTTGGAGATATGTGGGTTTTTTGGAAATACAATTTGAATCCCTTAAGGTGATCACTAGAAGACTGGATGTGGCCTTTACACTGAAGCTAGCTGTGAAATGTTCCATTCTCTGAATAGTCTTGGGTACTGGTTTTGGCTGAAATAGAGTTAATATTCTTCGTAGTACCTTGTACAGGGCCGGGGAGGGAGTGAGTGAGGGGCTGTGTGGCGCTTGGCTGCCTACCTAGGTTAAACCACAACACCTTGAATTATTCAGAATTTTTCGTATGTATTTCCCCTGCTACTTATGGAAATAAGTGAGCAAATAGAAGTCCATGTGGTAACCTCTTTATAACCTTTGAGCTAAAGTATTTAGTCACTTTTTTGAAATAATCTGTTACTCGTAGTAATGAGTGCCACCTCATCTGTCTTCAATAGCTAACAAAACCTATTCTGTTGCTGTGATACTTCATCTCCTTTATTATCATTTTTACACCTTAGACAAATAATTTATTGTTTGTATAACTGTTATTGCTAAAATGTACTTTAATAAATTCAGTTTGTAAAAATAAATTCAGGAGTTTATTTTCAATAACTTTTGATTATTCAAAGCATCACATGATCTCCTTCTGCTGTGTCCTGCTAGAGTGTTTAGCACCTAAAGGGTTACCATAGATGGTTCCTTATGTTTTCAAATATTTCTTTAGCTCTGCAAGAGTTAGAGATTGTTTTTTTTTTTTAAGATGCTAGAATAAATAAACCTGTTTTGATCTGTGGGTTTTTCCCCCTGATTATCACTAGATTGATGAAGATGAACCCTTATTCCTGAGTCTAATGGAAGATCTATTTCCAGATATCCAGCTTGATAAAGTAGCATATCCTGAACTGGAAGCTGCCATTGACAAACAGGTAATGTTTGAACTGTGCAGCTGTGGCATAATTATCATGATGTGACCTCTAAGAAAATTACTGGTGTTGAATCTACCCAGCTGTTAATAATATGTTCTACTATTTAGAGAAAGAGTACACTTTTCCATAAGTTTTTACTATTGGCATATTATTAACTTTACTCCTAAGGATGTCTGAATTATGATTGTGATGTCCTGTGGCTTTCTTGTGAGTCATTTGTGGTGACCAGTTTGAAAAACGCTCACCTTGTGTGACCCAGTATTCATCCAGTGGAACCTTGACAGGCTTGAGACGTGGGCCCATGCAAACCTCATGTAGTTCAACAAGGCCAAGTGCAAGGTCCTGCACCTGGGTCAGGGCAACCCCAAGCACACATCCAGACTGGGTGGAGAATGGATTGAGAGCATCCTTGAGGAGAAGGACTTGGGAGTACTGGTGGATGAGAAGCTCAACGTGACCCAGCAATATGCACTTGCAGCTGAGAAGGTCAGCCATATCCTGGGCTGCATCAGAAGAAGCATGACCAGCAGGTCAAGAGAGGGAATTCTGCCCCTCTACTCCACTCTTGTGAGACACGACCTGGAGTACTGCATCCAGTTCTGGAGCCCCAATATAAGAAGGACATGGACCTACTGGAACAAGTCCAGAGGAGGGCCACCAGGATGATCTGAGGGCTGGAGCACCTCTCCTATGAGCACAGGCTGAGAGAGTTGGGGCTGTTCAGCCTGTAGGAGGCTCCAGGGTGACCTTATAAGTGGCCTTCTAGTATCAGAAGTGGGCCTACAGGAAGGCTGGGGAGGGACTTTTGACAAGGGAAGGCAGTGATAGAACAAGGGGTAATGGCTATAAATTGGAAGAGGGCAGAATTAAATTAAATATTAAAAATTCTTTCCTGTGAGGGTGGTCAGACACTGGAACAGGTTGCCCGGATAAGTTGTGGATGCCCCCTCCCTGGAAGTGTTCAAGGTCAGGTTGGATGAGGCTTTGAGCAACTTGGTCTAGTGGAAGGGGTCCCTGCTGATGGCAGAAGGGTTGGAGCTAGATGATCTTTAAGGTCCCTTTCAACCTATACCATTCTATGCAGTATTTGCATAAAGTTTAACAATTGTAGCATGAGCTTGAGAAAAAAATTACCTAAAATGACATTTCCTTTATTTCATCTCCCGTTACATCTTTTGGAACACTTCAGTAGGGCCAACTTAAGAACATTAGCTAATGCTTCTTATAGAAGGCTACTGAAGTAAGTATACTTAAATGATCACCTCTATTAAACTTTCCTCCAGAATTTCAATAATTCCTCAGATAATTATCTAATAATCAAACAGAGAAATGAAAACCTCAAAAAACCCATCCGAAGACCCAAACATTAAAAAAATTGAGAATCAGAAGTGCATTTCTGAAGAATTTGAGTATATGACTTTTCATTTACTTATGTTTAATATGATCAGATACAAGTAGAGTGCTCTGCTTCTGGCTTTCCTAACAAAGAAGAATTGAATCATGAGCTAATGTTTATAAAGCTGTTTTGCTTTCTGTGGTTTATACAGTTGGCTTTAAAAAAGGACTCACAAATTAAACTTTTATTAGGAGAAACTATAAAGAATTTGAATCTTGTGCTTTAAATTGTCATTTCCTAATAAACTAAAAAGAGGTGTTAATAGCATGGTCTTCCTAGCTCTACTGTTGGTGACCGATGAAGCCAAACACAGGAAGTATCAACCCTTTTAACAACAAATCATTATCACTTGTTTGCAAATAGGGTTGTGGTGGTTTGACTCAGTGGGACCATGCGGTTCTGCATTCACTACCCCCACTGGGTGAGATGGAATGGGAGACATAACAAAGGGGGCTGCAGATTAGGATGAAGGACAGGGATGGCTCCCTCACCAGTTATGGTCACGGGCAGAACAGACTCAAAGTTGGGGAAGAAAAATCAATTTAATTCGCTGCAAACCATCTGAGTAGACAAAACAACCACAACTTACAACACCTCCCCCCCCCACCCCTCCTTTCTTCCTGGGCTCAAATTACTTTGCTCCTGATGTCTCTACCTTCCCCCACAGGGGCAGGGAATGGGGTTTCAGTCAGTTCACCTCTGCCGTTCTTCCCGGCGTGAAAGTCCAGGAACAAGATGTTCCAGCGTAAGCTTTCCATGGAGTCATGGACCTCTTTGGGCTCAGCTCCTGGCTCCAGCATGGGGATGTCCACAGGCTGCATGAGACTTTCCCCCCACTCTGGGGGTCCACTCCCTGCTCTGGCCCGGGGTCACAATTCCAGTCACACTTGCCCTCAGGCTCAACTTCTTTGCTTCAGTGTGGGTCCTCCATGGCCAAACGTGGATCTCTGCTCTGCCATTGATCTCCATGGGCTGCAAGGCTCTTCCTTTTCCTTCTCCTATTCCATCAGGTGAACTGGATGCATGGATCTGCCTCTCCTCCTCTTTAGCAAGGAAGCTCTCCTCTGTATGTCTGTCCTTTGTTTAGGCTGATGGTCCTCTTTTATTTGTCAATCGCCTCTTCTATAGGTACCCCACCTTCTTCCTTTCAGGACAGTCCTTCCCCTCACAAATACAGATTCACAGAGGTGTTTCTCTAGTGCTCATTGGCCCAGCCTGGGCTGGGGGGCGGGGGCCTGGTTTTTGGAGGCAGGGGAGCTTTTTGCTCTCCCAAGGTAGCCCTTCCCCCACTACCAAAAAAACCCCTGATGTATTAACCCTAAGAGATGGAAAAAAAAGGAAGATAGTTTATATTTTATTACTTTTCCGAATACATATTTGAATGCTAAATATACCTTATTTTTCCAATTTTTTCTATACACAAAACTTTCACAAAGAGTGTAGTCTTCTGCTGAAGAGAGTGATATATATTTTTTTTAAAGTATCCAAAAGATCTTGTGCACTAAAATAGTAGTATTTTGGTTTTCTGTCACTGTCTACAGGTGGAGGAAGCTGGACTTGTTAGTCATCCTCCTTGGAAACTGAAAGTTATCCAACTTTTTGAAACCCAGAGAGTAAGGCACGGATTGATGACACTAGGACCTAGTGGTGCAGGAAAAACTGCTTGCATCCACACTTTAATGAAAGCCATGACAGGTATGTGAGTATTTATATTGTAAACTGTTATATTGTAAACGTTAAACCACGTAGTTTCTTCATAGAAAGCCTCAATTACTTCTCTGTGAGAATATATTACTGGAAGAATGAGTTTGTGTGTTGTGATACTAATTATTGAGGTAGTATCTTTTAAAAGCTTTAAAAATGTCTGACATTCAAAGTTATATAATACATATCCTGGTTTTCATATTATGATACTTATATCAGAAGCTCTTGTTCTAGAAGCATTGAGAAAGAGGAATACTGTATAGGTAGACAGCTCAGACAGGTGATTAAAGCATCTCCCAGCTTTGACTGAGGTAATGCTGAAACCTTCCCTTAATCACAAGTATTTAGTCCTTTTTGAACACAATTCACAAGACAGCGGTCTTTATCTGCAGTATAAAACAACTACTTCTGTCACTTGTTGCTGCTAGGAGATAGTTCCTGGTTTAGGCAGTGACAAAGCCTTCAAGGGTATTCATTTCGTGTCCTGGCTGGACGCTTGAGGAGTGTGTGTTTTTGTCCTCTGTATTTCTAAACAAAAATATAGATGGAAAAACTTCTGTTTGATCTTATTAAACTAAAAGCTCTAGCTGGGAAAGAAAAAAACATCTCTTCTGAGGTAAGCTTGTTTTACCCCATTACACAGACTTTAGTAGGCTGCTTATACAATTTTCCAGAAATGGATATTTTTATGTAAAAATCATTCATTCAGTTTCTCATCCATGCAGTACCTTAGGGTGCTTAAGAAACACTGTAAGTTCTACATTACAGCATACAAGACTGTTCTGTTTAGAGAAAAAAACAGCAGGAAGAAAAGATAGTTGTATTATACTATTTTTCTATATTTCTATAGCACTGAGATGTGAACTACCACCAAGATAAAACTGCTGCAATACTTTTTTCAAGCCGATCTTCTGGCATAACCTCATGAAATGTAAAACTACATAATTTGCGAAGCTTCTGTCTTACATGTTAGTGAACTCTGATTATAATTAAGATTTTTAAGATAAGCCATTTTTTTTAGCTCTTTCTTTCCTCATCTTATTACTGGCTCCTGATTAAATTTTAATATTGGGTTTTCTAATGATGTCTGGCATAGGAGTTTTTAAGCTGTTGTTAATGAGGTAAATGTAAAGTTTATATGATCATGGTATGGCTAAATAAAATTTAGCTGCCTAAGAGACTTCACAGCGATATGCCAATATCATATACTTTGCCCATTGCAAGATACATGCAAGTGCACAATGGGGAAAAACAAAATCAATCATGTGGAGCTTCTGTCTGGTATTTAGTCATTAGGTTTTAAAAAAGGGCAGCCAAACCAAAGGCTTTAAAGCTCTATTGTTTGATAAGCCTTCAAAATATTAAACTAAACCTTGAATAAATTTCATCTTGCTGCTCTTTTGTTCCTGATGACTCTATGAAATGTGAATTATACTTTCAGAAGTTTCAGAACTTTGTTCTACTTGAAATTTTGATGGCTCCAATTAACAAATGTGGATGAATAGCAAGAGATAAGTTTTCTAAGTTAATACACAACTTTTTATAATAGTGAATGCATATTAAACCATACATTTGGATGTAATGATTTTGAATTTGTCAAGGTTCTCTGACTATTGAAAAGAAATGGCAAAACTAACTGATGATCTACCTTCATAGATTGTGGACAGCCACATCGTGAAATGAGAATGAATCCTAAAGCTGTAACTGCTCCGCAAATGTTTGGTCGTCTCGATGTGGCAACAAATGATTGGACAGATGGAATATTTTCAACACTCTGGAGAAAAACTTTAAGAGCCAAGAAAGGTACAATGAAAACAACTCCCTCCAAAACAAAACAAGCTGTAGGACATCTCTCCTAAGTGCATTAGGAGACCTATTTTTTTTTTTTTTTTTTAACATATGTGGAAGAATTGGAATATTGCTGCAAGAACTTCTGTCTGTTGTATGGTCTCTGTTCTAGATGCTTTGTGTTCAAACTGTGTAGTGTAGCAAATGCTGTTTCACTGAGTTTGCTGATCCCCCTTTTTCAAAGGATAGGCCCTCATATGGAAGAAAAATGAAAAGTAAGAATCAGTTCCTCCAACACTGGCATAGTATAAAAAAAATTTGCTGCTGTTAGAATTTCTACCTGGTCTCCAGTTGCCATACGCTAACCCTGCGCATACTGTAGTCCATCTCAAATGGCACTAGATAATTCTATTTAGGCAACCAATTTCTGCCTAAAATAATGCTGGCATATATTATTAGACTGCTATATTAACTAAAAGAGAGGCCTTGATGGTTTGATGCTAGATGGATTCTTCCTTGTTTTGCCTGAACATTAGTGTGTGACCTTACCAGTAGGCCTTAAGGACTAAAGGAGGAAAAAAAAAAAAATTCTACCCTTTGTTGCACTGTCAATTTTAATGCAAAAATTCTTAGTCTTTAAGGATACAGATACTTCTATAATAGAAAATACTTTGGGATTTAATTTTGTTACTTTTGTTTCAAATCTAGAAATGTAGCACCCTTGAAAATGTAGCATAGCATTAACTGTTGATTTTTGTATTTTTCCCCTCAACATTAAATATAAATTGTCAAACTCACCTGGCTTCCTCAGATTCACAGTTTGCAGCACTTCTGTAATGTCTCTTTACAGAGCAAACTCCAGACCATCTCAGGCATGAGATGCCTATAGTGTCACTATGAAAAACCTCTAAATATAAAACTATTTGCCTCAGAGATGAGAAAGTTTCTCATCCAGAACCTTCTTGGTTCATACCAAGCAACACACTGAGCCACCTGGACCTAGACAGTAAGGACTCACTCTGAAGGCAGGTGAGAGTGGGACTGTCTCTGACTAAAGGGCTATCTAGCAATGCATAGCAGGGCTGGCTACTCCCTAAGTAGCCAAAAGCCATGGTGGGATCCCTTTCTAGCCAGGGCCTGTGCTCAGTACCCAAGGGTGGAGTGCAGGACAAACCCAGACCCTCCTAGGAAACTGAGGCAGGCTTTATGATACATTTCTGTTACTAAATGGAAAGAGCTGGAAAAACTTCAAGGGGAGCTGGATGAAGTTTACAAGCAGGAGAATGAGCAACAAGAATATTCCCCTAATGGACTTCTTTTACTTATGAAAGTGAGTGTGCTGTTTGAGAGTGTGATTTTTTTTTTTTTTTTCAAGTGTTCCTTGCATTTAATCTTGCTACATTTACACAAACTCTTTGGAAACGAATGGTGGTTTTAAATAGATCTGTAGTTTCTATCTTCTTTACATTCTTATGTAAGTTGAAATAAACTTAATTTATTACTGCATTCAATACCGGATCCATAAAACTGTTTCAGACTATTACAAACTGATGACGTATGCTGATGCTTTATATACTGAGCAATGGACAATTATTATCAATAGGTGATGAAATTAAGTACTTAATTGAAACTGAGTGATGGAAATGGTAATTGTATTAAAAGCTGAAATTCTAAATGTGTGTGTGAATTCAGAATTAGTTAAAAATGTGTTTGCAGAGAGAATAAACTGATCTTTGAAAAAAACTAGAACTTCATCTGTAGGCATTTTTATCTGTTATTTTGGATTATAGGTGACCACATCTGGATAGTTCTTGATGGTCCAGTTGATGCTATTTGGATTGAGAACCTTAATTCTGTCCTGGATGATAACAGAACTCTAACGCTTGCAAATGGAGATCGGATACCTATGGCACCCAATTGCAAAATAGTCTTTGAACCTCATAATATTGATAATGCTTCTCCAGCAACAGTTTCGAGGAATGGGATGGTATTCATGAGCTCATCAGTTCTCACCTGGAGCCCTATCCTTGAGGTACAATAGCTATGGAATTATTTATGTATTGAAAGTTTTACTGGTTACTTATTCAACACTTCACTGTTGTTACTTTTGGACCTAATTTTGTGACTTTTGCTATAAAATAGCACTGTATCAACCCATAGGTCCGTACTTCATATAGCAATGTTTCTGGTAGTTTATATAAGAGTTTAAAATGTAATTTTTTCAGAAACATAGTCAACATATTCCACACTGGGACAAATTTGTAATTCAAGGTATTTTATGCAACTGCAGAACAACTTGGCTATCAAAATACCAACTACCTGGCAGCCCCTAGTACAGCTTCAGACCAAGGAAGTAGAGTAAACAGGCTGATTCAAGAGTCTAGAAATCTTCAAGAAAATAAAAGTTCTCTTGATATTTCTTAAAATTAATTGCAGTTGGGGTTTAAAACCAGAAAAAAGTCAATGCAGCATTGAAGTGCATAATTTTTGAATTTATATCCTTACCTGGTTAAGTTGTCTGTTAACATTCCTGGGAGCAAAATGTCTGAAGAACTAAGCAGCAGTTACTCTCTCTCTGGCATGGAATGAATCATTTAGAAAAACACAACATGTTATAGGTGTGTTTTGGAGGAAAGAACAGCATATAACGTATTCCAATCTTTAAGTGATTTATGAAGTGAGTTTTTTTTTCTTGTATGTGCATCTTTCATCTTCCAAAAATCAGAAAAAATAAATCCCTATCTTGACTGAATGCTTGTAATGATATAGTGAATTTAGAGACTTGCGCATACTATGTGTGTTGGTTTTGTTGGGTTTTTTTTTGTTTTTTTAATGTGGCAAATATCTTGGTAAAGATGAAATGTAAGAGTTCGTAAGAATCTACCTAATGTTCTGTAGTATCTTTCAACAAAACTTTCAGCATTTAATTCCAGTTTTCCTCCCTTTTAAGAATACAATGGAGACATTTATTATTTTTTTTATTTTTAAAACCTATATTGCCGTAGAAATATATTGGTAAAATAGACTCCTAAGGATTAACAGTTTTTAAAAAATTAAATTAAAAGAATTATTAATTTTTTTTTTCTTGTCTAGTCAGTCTTATTGAGGATATTTTGTTGACATTATTTGGTTTGTAACATTGACTGTCTCATGAGTATAAAAAAATATTTTTCCTTGTGGCTAAGACACTGATTCCTGTGGTCATAGAGAGAATTACTTTATTACTGTTCTTCTGCATAATCCCAAATTAATGTTCCTTTATGGGCACTTAAAACTTTAATTTTAAGCTAGGAATAATTTAGTCTTCCTGTTTATGAAACTGGAACATCATCCAGGCCCTTGTAGCATATTTACCCCCGTTTGCAGACTCAAAAGAACAAAGCAACTGTCCTTAGTGTACTAGAGGTTTGGCAGAGATGGAAATCAAGAGAGATGGTACGCTGCTGTCTAAGCCCTGAGTGGCAGGCCGTGTCTGGTGCATCTTCCTGGGGCTGGAGACAGTGGAGCCCCTGCTGGGGGAAGTGTTGCCTGGGCATGGAGATACCAGGTGAAGTAGCTGTGGAAAGGGGTGAGAAGATATGTGTGCCTTTAGGGAAGATAAACATATCAGCAGGATCTTTGTAGAGACGCTGGAGACTCAAGATCCCTAGCCCTAAAATGGAAAGGAGGGTGTGTGAGAGACTGCATTCAAAGCTTTGAGCAGAAGCTCTCAAGATGAGAAAGGCTGTTAACTTGTGATTTCTGGCAGTGGATGCGATATTTTCTTTTCCACCTTGCAGAGCTGAAATGGCAGGTTAAGTGTGATGCCCTGAGAGTAGGTGAGGAGCAACAAGATCTACTGGGTGGGTGTCAGAACCCAGCTTAGCTTTAACCAGTTAAGACTTCCAAAAAGGAGTGTGATTGTCATCAGAGACTGCCTCCTGTGATGGAGGTACCCATGTGCTGTGACTTGTTGCCTATGGAGGTTTGCTGTTTGTGAGGGACTAAGAGTTGCTATGGAGGGTTATTTTCATATTTCTCTAGTAGTGCCTAGAGCCTTTCCCTTTTAGAATGATATTAAATCGTATGTAGCTGGCTATTCAATCACAGCTACTTAGCAACACTCAAGAATCATCACTCATTCATTTGGTAGCTTTCCTTGCAAAAATGTTTGCATTCTTATTAGGAAAAAAAAAAAGTGTTTAAGTTTCCTAAAAATTTGACTGTTACTGAAGTTTTACTAATGCAAATACACACAGTCAACTCAAGTGCCTTATGTAAGGCAAGGCTTTGCTTTAAAATACCCAGCTAATCCAGACTAATATGGATCCTTGGGAAAGTGTAAGTGTAAGTTATGTATCTAGGACAGTGGCTCCCATGAGATTACACTTGTGTTGTTCCTTGCTGTACTTATAGTGCTGCATAAGGCCTATTGATGTTAGGTCTCACAGCTCTGCCTCCTTGCATTGGTTAATTTGCAGACAACAACTTTTTGAACATTTCAGTTTAAATTGAGCTATAGATTCAGCTGCAAAGAGAACAAAACCAATGAAAGGCATTTTATTTTGCCTTACCAGTAATTATTTACCTCCTCAATTTAAAGGGATATGCAGACTAAATTTAGTTGTCTTGAAGTAAGTGTTGCATGAAAGCAGTTTCACTTAATCCGTGACCTTATGGTTTTTATTTACTTTGGTAGCAACAGTCAAAAGGAATACAAGAACTTTTTTTTTTTTTTACTTTAGGAGAATGCAAAAGAAATTACATTCATTTCAACCATGAAACAACCGTTCTAACCCCCCCTCTTCCCCCCCCCCCAAAAAAAATTTGCTATGAAATTGCAACCTGTAATTATCATTTGAGTCAATAGCATTTTTTTTGTTTGGTTTGTTTTTAATTCATAAATAAAATATCTTCATGGCTCTTTCAGTACATATCCCTTTAAATCTATTTTGTAGTGCAATATACTACATATTCCAGTAGGTAAAGAGAAGATGTTAATCTTGCATTGTTCACTAGAGGATTTCCTTACTTTTGTAATAGAATTAAATGGAGTTTTCTTTCTTTAGTTCCTAATTCTCCAAAGCTGAATGAAACATAGTATTTGTTGATATTTCAGAAGAATTTGAAAAGTAATTAAAACCAAATATGAATAGCTCAGGAAGTTGTTGTATATATTTACATTTCCCATCCTTACAATTTATGAACAACTAAATATAGCAGCCTATTGTGGTGCAATATAATGACATAAGCCATTTCCTAATTCATTTAAATAGATCTCAGACTTTCCATATTGCTGTTCTTGTCTAACATGCTTCTTAAGCAGCTTTTGCAAAGTGATCAAAGGTATGGTATTTGACACGTATCAATCTCCTCCAAAGCAAAAAGCATCTTACCAACTTTCCTACTTACCCCTAATATTTTCTGAACAGCTGACGAAGTTCGGGATATCTATTTTAAGGAGTTCTGCCATTTAATCTTTAGCACTTTGTTTTCTACTTTCCTGTTTCTAGAAAGCTTAACTATTTGTAATCTGTCCTAGAGTTTATTTACTTTGGGCAGTAAAAGATAGAGTTTCAAAAGATTTTGAAGGTAGAGGTGTAGAAAAGAATCACAGAAGCACAAAATAGTTGAGATTGGAAAGGACCTCTGGAGATTGTGTAGTTGAACACACGTCACTCAAAGAAGAGACAGCAAGAGTAGGTTGCTCAGGACTATGTCCGTGTGAGTTTTGTAATGGAGACTCCAGAAGCTCACTTAGAAGCCTGTTCCAGTGTTTGACCACCCTTGCAGCAACAACAACAACAACAACAAAAGTTTTTTGTTATGTTTAAATTGAATTTATTTGATTTCAGTTTGTGCCAAACTTTACTTTGAAGTTTGGGGAAGAATCTGCAAGTGTTTTTGCTGATGAGTATATTTTATGTAGGAAATAAATTCATGGGATGTAAATGAGAAGCATTCTGCCACATAGATGAGAGAAAGCTTCTGGGTAGCTCAAAGCAGTAACCTGCTGCTTTGAGCTAAAGGCATCAAAGAACACATCCTGTTCTATGATCTTGAGAAATAGGTAGTTTTAATTAGGTTTTGTTTATCCATCATTACAGATACTGAGATGCACAATAAAAACACTACACACACCAGCAGACATCCCCCCCTTGAAATCCTAAATTTTTTCCTGCAACTGCCAGATGTTTCTGGGGTACCCTGTATCACTGCTAGAAACTAACGTTGTGCAGAATAAGTCAAACTTCTCTTCATATGATATTCTTTCTTTACAGAGTTGTTGTATACAGCCATTGTGATTTAAAACATATTTGAAAAGAATATTTATTGCTGTTGAAAAAATATTTGAAAAGAATGATTGCTGTTGAAAACTTTAAAGTGCTTTTTTTTTTCTTGTTTCCATGTTTAACATTCAGTAGTAATTATGAATACTTGGGTAAAGTATGACCTTCTGCTAGCCAAACCCTGTCCATCAGGCAGGAAATCTGAGCCCACAAAAAGAAACCATCTTTCCATGCTCACCAGACCTTTTGAATTACTAGAGTTGAATTTACTGAGACTTGCATTGGGAACTAAATTTATTTTCTTGTTATGTTTTGTAACAGGGATTTTTGAGAAGACGTTCCTTCCAAGAAGCTGAAATTCTACGTCAGCTATATTCTTCGTCATTCCCAGACTTATACCGCTTCAGCATTCAGTCTCTGCAATGCAAGACTGAGATGTTGGAAGCCTTTGTGATTATGCAAAGCATCAATATGCTGCAGGGTCTTATCCCACCTAAGGTAGTGTGGATTTTTTTTATACTTAATCTAATGGAGAAAAGTCATGAGGACATGTAGAGAGATTCTTTGATGACTTGGAATATAAATGAAATTGCAGGTTAGTAAGGAATGCCTTCTTTTTCTCTAGAAAAGAAAATAGCTAAGATGTGCCCTCTTTCACGTTTGGATTTGATGTTAAGCACCGACATGTAGTATGCATCAGACAGCTGTTTTCCTTCTTTTTTTTTGGTTGGGTTGTTATCAGGTTATAAATTAGAACTTAAATAGATCAAATGCTGTAATGGGTGATTAAAAGTGATATTAACTGGGTGATTTCTGTATTTTATGGTCTACTTGATACTGATTCAGTCTGTTCATTGACGAAGATGTCAGTAATGTAAACATGACTGAAGGCTTTTAACCTGATGTTACTAATGATTATCAAGCAGAATTTTCAGGCTATTGAAAATAAAAACCTAACTCAATCCTTCAGGAGCAAGGAGGGGAATTGACTCCAAAACACTTGGAAAGGCTGTACATCTTCTCTCTTATGTGGAGTGTAGGAGCATTATTGGAACTGGAAGACAGATGCAAAATGGAGCACTGGCTTCGAAACCATGCAACAATAAAACTTGATCTTCCCTGTATCCCAGAAGATAGTGAAGATACCATTTTTGATTATTATGTTGCATCTGATGGTTAGTAACTCAGCTGGGTGGTATGGGATAAAACTTAAAAGTAATTTTTAAATTGTGCTTCTTTTAGAGAATTAAATCAGAAGGTTTTTTGTAGCTTACCTTCTTTTGCGTTCCTTATCGAGTTTTATGTTACAGCCACACTTTACTGGTGATATTGTATAAAGGTTTTCCTGTTTCCTGTGAGAAATTGGAATGTGAATATATTGCTACAGAAAGCTGTGTGGACTTTGTACCAATGAATTTTCAAATGAACAACAATAAACAAGCCTTTTCCTTGTCATAATTTATGCAGGAAAGAGGAGTAAGCATCTTAGATTCCATGATTCTATAATTTTGGTCTGAATTTACAGAGTGGGATTACTGTATGTGTGACAGAGGCACTGACATATGAGGTATCAATGGAAAAACAATGATGCCTTGTATTTCTAAAATATTAACTTTGTTTCTTTCTTATTAGGTAAATGGATGCACTGGAATACATGTGTTGAAGAGTATGTATATCCCAGCAGCAGCACTCCAGAATATGGCTCCATTCTTGTGCCTAATGTTGACAACGTGCGAATGGATTTCCTTATTGAAACCATTGCAAAACAGGGCAAGGTACTTTTTCTATATTTCACATCTAAGTAGCGCTAACAGTATACATGGTAAATTTTTTTTAATTAGAAGTTAATTATTATGTTATTGAAAAGGAAGAACATAATATAATATTTTAATAATTTTTAAATATAAAGTGGTGATTCCAGTTCATGTTAATATGCTTGAACTCTTGAACTCTGCTTCCAAACTTTTTTGTCTTCCCCTTAACCGTCTTTTTTGTAGTGGAAATAACCATGATTACAGCTGAGATCAGGTCAGAACAGAAGCAATTTTTTCATGTAGCTGTTAGAGACGGTGCAGCACATGGGACAACAGAGCCAGACTGGACTGATATGAACTCTGCCGATATGGGGCAGTTACAAAGTTTATGTACCTTTAGGTTATGCAACCTGTTTGTCACCAAAACTGTGTCAGATAATCGGGATATGGTAAATAACAACAGCAACTGAAGTTTGCAGATACTGAGGCTCTAGATGTACATCCTTTTTCAAATATTCAACTTGTTTTACAAATAATCCATTCTTTTTTTTAGTTAAATTGTGCTGACATGACCATTAACTGCAAATATTTCAAACTTGTGAGGCCTGCAAAAGCCTGAGACATTATTTTGCTTCCATATGTCCCTTTTTGAGAATTTACTTTGCATAACTTCTAGTTTCGTTTCAGTTTAAAAGCTAAGTGGGAATGCTAAAGCTTTGCCAAGACACCCAGCTCTTGTGTTTCATCTTATTTCAATGTTGTCTTTGTCTAGGCTGTTCTACTAATTGGTGAGCAAGGAACTGCGAAGACTGTTATCATAAAAAGTTTTATGTCAAAATATGACCCTGAAAGCCACATGGCTAAGAGATTGAATTTTTCATCTGCAACTACCCCGTTAATTTTTCAGGTATAGTAGTCATTCACTTTCTAATACAACGTGACTGGATTCAGAGATTCTTCTCAGAATTTGCCAGGAGGATGCTTCTGAAAGTGCTTTATTTAATTGAGAATGAATACAGAAACAAAAAAACACCCATTTAAAAGGACAAAGTGTCCTAACACGTGATTTAAGACTTCTGTAAAAAACATATTCCCTTCAACTTCTCAGTAGTTATTGAGCTGTTCTTGAACTATTACAATACCATACATATTGTTTGCTTCATCACATTTAATGTTTTTCATGTGAAATGTATCAGTTCTCACTAATTGGATAGAGCTGTCAGTGACTTCCCTCAGATTTCACTAAAAGCCAGGAGTAAAGTAAGTGCTACCCACAACAATCTGTCATAAAAAGTGTGCTGTCTGTGATTTAAATTTCAGTATATTCAATTACTCATTAAAAAAGCAACACATGCAGTACAGCTGCTCTAAATAGAACTATGAATACTTAAATCCTGAACTGTACTGCCTGTCCAAATTTCTACTCAGCTACTTTGAATTATTTCAAGTTTCTTTAACTTGCTGGCAATGTGTATGGGAAATATTTTTAATACGGTTTACTATGCCAAACCGAAGTACTGTCTTTGCTGTAATCGGAAGTGCTGTCTATAAGAATGCATCATCCACCATCTGGCTCTGTAGCATAGTAGAAACTATTAACATCTTTAATATACAAGTATGTAATTTCGGTCTTATTTTTCCTTCTGTAAAGTTGGGTTATAGAAACAAAAAGTAGTGGTGGTACTCAATGGAAAAGCAATGAGTCAAGCAAATAGTCAAGTTTATTGATGATAGATGATAGTCTGTGGTGGTCAAGACATTTGAAATTGATGTACAAGTCTAACAGCCAAGTCTCTGATGGCAATCTAGACCAAAGCATTGTCTGTTACAGTATATGTTTTTAAATTACTCTGACTTTCTAAAATCTTGGTCTAACTGAAGCCACTTGGGTAAGAATGCTTACCAGGCTACTGTACAGGAGCATAGGTGCAACGTAAGACTGCAGATACTTAGATTTTCACTAAAGAGTGACTATACATAGTTAAGTGAGCTTTCATTTGGTATAGAGTAAATAAAAACTGGCCTTGACGAAGAACAGAGCAATGGAAAGATGATGGGAAGAAAAGTAGTGATAAGTTTACTATTGAGCAAAGTTATTTCATCAAGTCTATTTATGGAGTACTTCATCCATCAAGTACTCTTATGAAGTACATTGATGTCTGCTGGTAAGGTCTTCAAGAATCACATCTTTCAGATCTGAAAGATTATTAGTTTAATCTTTATTACTAGTAACCATCAATTTTGCTGATAAATTAATAAAATACAAGTTTGAAATAGTTTCAAAATTATGAAACTTTTAGGCATGATTGTCTACACTAGACATTTATTATATCTGATACCAACCTAATGCTGTAGGGCATGATATTTCAGACATTCTAGTTGAACTAGTGCAATTACCTCCAGCAGATGTGTTGTCTAAACCTTCCTTAGTAAAGATCTGTATAACAAAACCGTCAATATGTTTAAATGATTGAATCATGTATGAAAGAAAGGGCTCTTTGTAACTATGCTAATAATTGTTTTTTAACAGCGTGCAATAGAAAGTTATGTGGACAAGCGCATGGGCACAACTTATGGTCCTCCTGCAGGCAAAAAGATGACAGTCTTCATTGATGATGTCAATATGCCAGTAATAAATGAATGGGGAGATCAGGTTAGTTTGTAAAAGAGGAAAAAAAAAAAAGAGCAAAAATTATTTTCTTTCTTTCCTTGCTACACTGTAAAACTGATTTCTTTTTTCAATCAGGCAGTAGGGGGTAAATTTCATATGTAGTGCTTAATTTTTAAACAGTCTTTTTAAAGAACACATCTTGTTTTATTTGGAAATAAATATACTGACTACAGGAAGCAGTTTGAGTACTCCTTAAAACATGCATGTATAATTTTAATAATGTTTTTTACCAACACTCATTTTTTAATTTAAAAAAATAACTAGGAAAAAAAAAACCTTTGGCATACAAATATAATAAAGATAATAAACTGGCTGTGTGGAGAATACTTAAAACACTGTTATTGCTGAGAGGTAAGAAGTGACTTCTAATGCTTTAGAAAAAATGGAAGTCATCATTATATATGTTGGCAAGATTGTTCTCAAGTATATTGCTTTGGAAACTAACAATTTCTAGGGAAGTATAGTGGTATCATGTACTATCTGTGGGATGTTTTCAGCTGGTCAAACAAGAAAGCAGGAACTCCATTTATGGCTAAGGAAAGGAATCTTCCATTCTCTTGTATGGAAGTAATTCTATGTTTGCAGCTTGAAAAACTGTGTGATTGTTATACGTGGAAATTTCATCAAAATATTTGGTAGCAATAGCTACATGTGAAGCTACATCAGTTTGGGCTTGATTAGAACAAACTAGAGGTTTTGTATTAAAATATAGTATTAAAAGAGAATGTACTTTTGTAGACACATAGATACAATGGTATTAGAAATCACGCGGTATTCTAGCGAGATTGAATTGAAGTATGAAGGATTAATTCTAAGCTAGGGATTCCCCTCTACTCCCAGGATTTTTGTCCATAGATATCACCAATGAAAAGGACAATGTAAATGTGTTTATTGCTAGCAGTGCATTTTTCTCCTCAAGCAAATAAGCAGGGGTTTGGCGTAGAAAATAATGGTATATGCTTTATTAGATCTATCAAGTACATAAGTATGTTTTGAATTTCATTTAGTTGTGCATATAATATTCTGTTATATAATACCTGGTTATTTTACAGGTCACCAATGAGATAGTCAGGCAACTAATGGAACAGAATGGACTGTATAACCTGGAAAAGCCTGGTGAATTTACCACCATTGTGGACATTCAGTTTTTGGCTGCCATGATCCATCCTGGGGGAGGTCGCAATGATATTCCACAGAGGCTCAAGAGACAATTTTCTGTGTTCAACTGTACTCTGCCTTCTAATTCTTCCATTGACAAAATTTTTGGTAAAAGGAAATAAGCTTTGTTTCCATCCCATTTTTTAAAATTGTAGTTGATTTTTCTTTATTCCTCTATTTATAAACATTAAAATTAAAGTTGAGGCTTAATCCCTCCCTGATTTGCTGATATTGTCAATACATTTTTCTTCAGTAATCACTCCCCACCTGCAACTTCATCAATCTGTAAATTTTTCAGGTCCTGTCACATCTCTGAATCTATTGGTATGTTAAGTGTTAGGAAGAATGGCATGAAGGCTATTCCTGGTTTTAGTGACAGTGCTGGGGAGTTGCTAAGGTGCTGCTGGTGCTAAGAATGAGTGACTAATGACTTGACTTCCGCAAACGATAGCATCCTATTGGTCTCAGAGAAGATACTAGCTATTCAAAGGCTGTGGAAGCTATTTTGGTAGGCAAAATAACATTTTTCATGGACAGTAAATCAAGAGCTAAATACCCAGTGAGCTGGTGGCAGAATGGTGTTAAGACCAGGTGAATCAAGATTAAAGAATGGAAAGCCATTTCAACAAATTATAGAAAAAGTTTTGGGGATTAAGAAAAAAAGAAAGAAATTTAAGATCATATCTCTTGGTTCATTTGGCTTTTTTTTTTTTTTCTGTAGGTGTAATTGGAGAAGGGCACTACTGTAGTGAGAGGGGATTTTCAGAAGATGTGAAGAAAACAGTAGCCAAATTGGTTCCTCTGACACGCAGGCTGTGGCAGGTTACCAAGCTAAAGATGTTACCCACACCAGCTAAATTCCATTATGTCTTCAACCTTCGAGACCTCTCAAGGATTTGGCAAGGAATGCTGAACACTACATCAGAAGTGATCAATGAACCAAAGGTAAGTGCAGCACTATAATTAGTGTGTAATTAGTGTAGCAAAGAGGATGAAGAGTCTAACTTCTTGGAATTTGAGTTTGCTTCAGAAAAATATAATTTCTGATTAAAAAATATTTTCAGTGTTTTTTTGAGGCAAAGATGTTTTAGTCCAGCTTTTACAGTGCCAACTGAAATGAAAACTTTGTTTCATAACTATAACAAAACCCACTTTTTTTGACAGACAAATGCTAGTTTGTTTCAAAGAAGCAAGCAAAGAAAATTATGAAAAGCTATGAATTTATTTTAACCCAATGAAAATGTGTATATATTGATTAAAAAATTAAACAGTTCCCCTCTCTCTACTGGTGTCTTGAAGCTTGCAGTCACTGCCTAATATCTATCTAGCAAATGATTTCTGGCTTACAACTTAAAAGGAAGAACTAGTAATGAGTCATAGGGATGATTTTTTTCCATAATCCACCTTTCTTCCAGAAAATCTTAATACTTTATGCATCATTATTCTTTTAATTAAAGGAAAAGTCATTTAGTGTTTTGAGCACTGAAACTTGAAGTGCTGGAAAAGCAATGTTTATGGTAATCATGGAAAATTTGTTATACATTTGGGTTATATAATCACTTCATGTTTAATGTACTTCCCTGCTTGTTGAATAATTGAATTATACTACATCTAAAATTAAAATTTTAGATTTTAATTTCTAAAGCTAAAAATATACAGCGCTAAGGTGATTATATGTATATATATATTCTCAATTAATGTCTTCTGAAGTATAGCAAACAATTGCTCAAAATCTAATTGTATAAATTTACATATTAGTTCTGAGATTTCACATAGCATGTGTCTTTGTACAAAGTGCTATAGGCTCAAACAAGATGCCTTCAAGGAGTACTTGGAATTTTTTCTGCTACTCTGTAGTAATAGTGTAGGGTTAAAACCATTGCTGCTAGGATTAAGAACTGACAAGTTTTCTTTCACCATCCTATGACTGAACTGAAGGACTTTAGGTATATTGAATTTGTAGAAGGAATAATACAAACACACATATATATATATATATTTTTTTTTTCTCTAACTACTTTGGATATAGTATTGAGAGTGACATCTGTGTTTGGCATGAAATTATTAATTCCATGATACTATATTTCCACCCACCTTCTGCTTAATGACCAGTTAAAAAATGGTTCATCAGTGCATAAACATGTGTTAACAGGTATGGATATGGTTTTAGGGCTAGGGAAATAAAATATTAATTTGGTAAATGTGGTCTGATTTGGAGTGCTAGATTAAGGCTTCTTGCATAGTTAACTGAATGTAAGCTTAAAATGCTAGTGGGCAGAATGAGAAGCTTAAGGTATCTCTCCTGTATAAACTCCAAAGTACTACTGTTCTGGTGTTTTTTTTTTTTTTTTCTTCTTTTTTTTTTTTTTTTCCCTACTGTTAATATGATTTTAAAATAAATAAATAAATGAAAAAAGCATGGCTTTTAAATTGGCATAGCTATGCTGCAAGCCTAATCTGACTAAAATGCCTTTTTTATAGGTACTAATTAAACTGTGGAAGCATGAATGTAAGTCTGTTATTGCTGATCGTTTCACAACCTCAGAAGATGTAAACTGGTTTGATGCAACTGTGGCAAAACTCATTGAAGAAGAATTTGAAGAATCAAAAGCTTTGCTGGATCCTGGAATTGATGCATTCTTTGTTGACTTCTTAAGGGATGCACCTGAAAAAACTGGTAAAGATGGACTTTTAGTAACCATGGAGTTGACAAGAATTGGAAAGGGGATATGATAAAATAGATGCTAATAGAAATATGTCTTAAAAATGCATAGTAAGTTTATGCATCAAGGCTGACTGTTTTGTCCAGTGACTTTGAAGGTAGTCTGTGTTACCAATTGTGGCACGTCTTTATATTAATGGGATTTTTAAGTCCATAACTATATCCAAGTTATCTGTATAGAAAAGCCTTGCTTCCATTTCCGTCAGTGTGGCAGACAAAACTACCAAATAGTGAACATGAGTCTGTTATTCTATAGTTATGAAAGAAGTGTGGTATGAATGACTTGAAGTGGTGAGGTTTCAGTACTAGATAAAGGATAGCACTCTAGCTACCAACCCTTAGAAACCCCGTAAAAGAATACTGAGTCTGGGCTAATTCAGTACTTCTTAGGAAATACCCAGTACCTGATTTTGTAATAAATGAGTATTATTCCAAAATCTCCTGAATGCTAGTAAAACTTCTTGAATTTTCCATGTGGCTTATAGCAATGTCTTTGTATCTTTTAAATAAAAACACCATGTTGCTGACTTTGCTAAATGACCTAAGAATATTTGTTGGTTGATGCCAAAGAAGAGAAAAACAGTTGTTTGGGTTTGGGGGAGGGTCATTATTGAAGCCGTTGGATGATTCAATTATCTGTGTTCATATCACTGCAGTGATGGATAATGAAGGCAATAAAAGGTTGGTATGAGTGGTCAAATGCCATTTAAATATCTTGGATAATTGAAGAAGCCAGAAGGTAGTGACAAAAGGACAGTAAAGGATAGGGAATGTGTGATTGGAAGATATCAAATAGAAGTAAAAAGCAAACTGGTGTAAGAAAGCAGTCAAATACATCCTTAAATAACTTTCAGCAACGTAGAAAGTACTGAAATACAAATCAGAATACATACTGAGAGTGTGAAGAGTGACTTTTAATGTGAAAATTTGAATGTGAAGAGTGACTTTTAAAGTGAAAATTTGAATCCACACTAGAAACCATTATGTTGAACTGAAAAATAAAAGCAAAAAGAAGCATGTATTTCTCAAAATAACTTGCTTCCTGGTGACATTTAAAATGTACCTGCCCTGTAATGTGCCTTTTAGTGTGAAACTTCATCTAAATACAAAGCAGGAAGCCTTC